ATACAGTCTCAATTATATTTTATTTGTGCAAGATCTTATCTCCTCAATTAGATTCATAACCCTTTAAAGAGAGATAGGGCTTTTTTTGCATGTGTGATCAGAAACTCAGGGTAAATTTGTTGTGAAGTTGTCCCCTACAAAGGGACTTCCTCAAGACAGTTGAGACAGAAGCAACCGATTCTCGGGAGACAGTAGGAAAGATGAATTGACTGGACAAGGGTTGCTACATGGAAAGGGTATTAGGTACAAAGTCAGCATGTGAGGGAGCTACATAGACCCACATTCAGATTGTGCAGCACGCAGTGAGGCTAAGAGGAGAACCAAGCTGTGCCTCGGAAGGATACAAGATGATAAAGTAACACCTTAGTGAATATGGCCAACTGGAAATCCTAACGCCCCAGAGCAAGACTCCCTGAGCCTCGTGCTGGCTTGGCACACATCTCCAGTTTGTGCTGATCTGCAGCGATGCTGGAATCCCGGAGCCAGCACATCCCCCTTCTCTAGTCTAATCCCAGGGACAGTCCAAGATGTCAACCTAACTCCTCCTTCCTGATCAGGAAGCTCCGTGAAAGCTTCTACAATATGCACATAAGCGGAAGGGAACAAAAGATTCAGAAGCCACAAATGGAACCTGACTCTCACCTTCCCAGGCCCAGAGGCAGAGACTGAGTTTGATCAGCTCCCCCACTGTCCACAGGAAGTAGGCAGCCCCGGTCTGAGCATGTTTAAGCCCTCTGAGCCTCCATTTCCTGGCTTGTGAACTACCTATATCTCCGACTTAGTTAAGACTGATGAGATAATGCCCATAAAACACCTAGAACAATACCTGATGCACAAAGGCATTCGACAGATCTTTTATTTCCTTCTTGCCACTCCCAGTTCCCATGTCACCATTCTGTCCACCTCACTGTATTGCCTCTTTCAGTATTGGTTTGAAATTGAAAATGCAGCACTCTTGCATGTGATTTTGATTTACCATCTCCAGAGGCAATGCAGCAGAGTAGATAAGACCATAGTTTCTGTAATCAAACTACCTGGGTTGTCCGATGACTGGCTTTGTCACCTTAGGCCTATGTGCCTTAGTTCACTCTTCTGAAAAGTAGAGATAATACTTGCACCTGTCCCACATGATTAAACTTATTAATATGTGTTGGAGCACTGAGAACAAAACCTATATGGCCTTCTTATTAGCATCTTCTTTAGAATTGGAGGGAAGTGGACCAGAATCAATTCACAGTGGCCTGAGCAGGGATCAATAGTAAGCGGTAAATATGCAAAGGAGTGGCAAAGCTGCTCAGCCCAGACTTGAACTTGTGGTCACTGTACATCAACTCTGCATGCTCAGCTTAACCAGGGTGGGCAAGGTTGTAAGAGATGAATTAAGACCTAGTAGCAGTGTGACTTTGATGAAATAAGTTCATGTCAGTAGGTCTCAATATTTGCGTCTATAAAGTGAACTTTTAATTCATGATTTCTAGAGTCCCTTCCTGATTTAAAAATGGCTTTGACTCTCTGGGGGAAGTCTTTTAGGAATTTTAGTCCCTGTGCTTGAGTCATAGTGACCACAGGTTGATGGCTGGCCCACAGATATTACTCGGTGGTCTCAGTGGCTATCATGACATGGGCGAGAGACCCTTGAGGGTAGATTTTTTACATTAACCTCAGATTAAGTTATTCATCAGGTCACACTGATGACACTGAAAAGCATTTCCCACACAAATTCAGTTTCCCATTAGCAGATTCACTACTTGTAGTATACAACAAAATATTATTTTTGTAAGATCAGGATTTGTCTTCATCTCATTTTTATATGGCCTTGTGTGCTGTTTGTGTCAAAATTTTAATTTTTTTAGATCAAAGCATACCCTTCTTAAGTCATTTCTTCATCACCTTACTCTTGACTTATGAGAAATCCTGGAGGCCTCTCCCTTTGGTTTCCTCACTTCTGGTCAGCTCATGGCTTATCAAGAAATTGGGGCTCACAAACCCATTACAGGTTTCCCCCACTATCCCAAACTAGAGGTGCCTATGAAACTTTTAGTAAGCTGAAATGGCATAAAGCAAAGATGTGATTATCATTAATTTATATGGAAACATTTTGAGGTTTTTCTCAGACCCCAAAATAACCTACCAAATTATGCCAAATATGCTTAATTACATCTGGCCTTACAATAAGCTTACTTAGGCTTCTCTGATACCTTACAACTCATCTTGCTAAGGAAGCACAAGGTAGAGCACAGATGTTCACAGACCCAGCTCAGACCCCTGGTGGTTAGATGCTGAGATGCTGAGTGTGGTTTCTGGGAAGGAGCTTGGTGGGGCCGCTCTCGCTGCTTGGGGTGCCTGCTGCCTCTAATAACAACTGCTGCAAGAACAAACACTGAACTATTTTTGCAAAAGCGAAAATCCTCTTTGGATGTTTTTCAGATAGCAAAAATAGGTACTAATATAGGTCTTTCATAAGAGCAAAGTGACATAATGCTAACTTTTGAAAAGTGGGGGACAGGTGTATGTATTAGATTAGGGAAGGAACCATGTGGCG